CCATCCATCCATCCATCCATCCATCCATCAATCATCCCATCCATCCATCCATTAATCCCTCCATCCATCCATTCTAGACAGCACCGCGCATTGAGGCCAATGGAAGACTTAATACTGAGGTTTTCCTGTACCCTACCCAGACAGACCAATGCCTTCATTTGAACTCTCATCACCCACTGGAACATAAACTTTCTGTTATCAGAACTTTTGAGTTACCCGGATTAATACAGAGTAGAAATAAAAAGTAATCATTTGACGGATGTGGTTATCCAAACTAGTCATTTCTTTATTTGGCCAAAACAACTAGCAGTAAGAAAAACACTGAATCAAACACAGAAGACAAAACAGAGACAGAAAAACATTGTAATCCCATATGGGTCAGGAGTCTGTGAGAAACTCAGAAGGATTTTCTTGAAACCCAACCACAGAACCAGCTTATAGCGGAGGCAACCAGACCTATGCTCTGTTTTTCAGAGGATGTTTCAGCACCTATCCAGGAGTCTTTGTCAGTTCTTTCAGCTCCACCAGAGCAATCTCTAGTTGGAGTGCTGATGTATTTAATCAGCATGCCAAGTCAATGCTCTGTGATTGGTCTTTAGAATCATAATGGAAGTGCTTATTTAATCTGCTTGGGATGAGTCCTATGGCTTAAATGTTGCTTGGAAGCTGAAACCTCAAAGCTGAGTCAAACTGAGTTTTTGTCCACCTGAGTTTTAACCTAGCTGTTTTTGTCTTTGCCTCTTGGCAGGAAGTCATCCTGCAAACTGGATGTTTCGGACCTTCTCTCCCCTGGAAGGATCTTCTGAGAATCAAGCTAAGCTGAGGATTCAAGTTTGTGGTTCTGATCAACTCTTTTTTCCTAAGGATCGTTTGGGGCTTCTCTCTGAGAAGGGGATTCATCTCCACAACAACCCGTTCAAGTACCGCAGGAAATCTAAGTGGCAGTCAGTTTGTCCGTTCACCAACATACAACCGCATTCTCGGTAAACCCTGTCCACCCTTCATCAAACAAGACAAACACTGGAACATCCCACACCGACTGGAGTCAATAAGAGACACCTTTTTCTGGAAATGTGAGTCAGCTATCTATTTCTCCTCTTCAAGTTCAAGAATCAAATTTCCCACTGAGCCTGAACTAACCGCAGTGTCTTCCCCTCACTTTCCAGTTCCGGTTGAACAGTGTTCAGAGCTACACTGGACTCATCTCATCCTTCTCAATAAACCTGTTAAACTTTTCCTTGGTCTCTCTGTGTTTGTTTTCTGCATGTGAGTCAGAGCACTTGATTAAATCATGACATAAACAACACGGCTCAGCGTAGGTTTGGCTCTGTCTTTAGGATCAACCAGTTTTGTTGAGTTTGAAATTCATCTCTATGTTGTGTCTTGAGAAAATCCTTCTGAGTTTCTCAGAAATTCCTTACACATATGGAATTACGATATTTTGGATATCTCTGTTTACACCTCAGCGTTTTTCTTTAAACTTAAAAAACCTCCAGACAATCCACCTGGGTTCAAATCTGACAGGTGGTCCTTTGCTGCATGTCTCATTCCCCCTTTCCTGTCAGCCTACTTACCAAAAATACGAGCCACCAGTGCTGCAAAACCCAGTTTGGATAACTACATGCTTCAAGTGATTTCCGAAACATTGCTGTGTTCTTTTCATTTCTCCTCTGTAATTTAGGGAATAATGTCAGCCCAGTAGCTCAGAGTTCTGACAACAGAGAGTTTATTTTCCACACTGACAATATTCCCAGAATTACAGAGAATTTCAGAGAGTCTGTGACGAGGGACAAATACAAACATTAAATCTCTTCATGGACTTCTGGGAAATTGGAAAAAAAAATTATTAATATCTTACCTTCTCTTCAGTTCGCTGATCTGCTGCTTCAAACTTTTAACCATGGAGCTCTCCATTGCGATATTTAAACTGGTGCTCCTAGTGAGCTCGAATATTTTCTCTGTAACAGTTTTCTCATATTTAAATTCCACTGTTGTTGTAGAGAACTGGCTTATACACTCCGAAAGTCGGTCATTGAGCCATACCATCATTTCATGGTGTCGGAGCCCTTGCTCCCCTTCCAACTTTATGGAGGGGTAGTCATTTAAGAAAAGGCTCATGGAATCACTGCTGATCAAGGACATGTTGACCTGGAAGAGAAACAATGAAAAACATTTTAAAAAGAATCATTTTCAATCAACTTTCTTAAACAACTCTTTCTCTCTGATAAGTATTTAACAGTGGCGGCTGGTGAAAAATATGTCTGGTGGGGCTGATATAGCCTAGTAGCCTGGGTGCCATTCCGAACTTAGTCCCGCCCACAAAGTTTGAG